GACCTGTCACATGTGTCAGAGGAAGAGAGTATATTATGAAAGCAGAAACTGGATGAGCTCCTGACCACTTGTGGCCCATCGAGGAGGACCCAGCAAAGGACTACGATCTCCTTCTCGGGGGACTGAAGGCTTGTGTTGAAAGTGACAGAATGCCTCGAGCAAGGAACTTGGAAGGAATTTCGAAATTCACCAAGGACCTGTTGAGAAGACGAGAAAGCTGGAGCTGAATCTGACGCACCATTGAGCGACTGGTAGCCAATACCAGTCACAAAAAGCTTTGAAGATCTTTTAAAGTGCAGGCAATCAAAACTTTTGGAAGCAGCACAAGGAGAGAGAAGTTTAAAGGAGTACTGCCGGGACGTTCTTGATTACCGTATCCCGCTGACAACATTGCTGAAGAAGACGGGACTCGTCTTTCCGACAGAAAATAGAATCGATTACAAAGAGATTCTGCCAATTTCTTCCTCACCATGACCCGTGCTAAACCCCGTTTACGCTCCGCAATCGAAACCATGAAGGCAGCAACGGCTTCGAGACCGGAATACTTATGGATGACTTCTTACGAGCTGGAGAACGTACTACACAAAATGCTCGCGGCGCACCTGACGTCTTATCTTTAAAAGAAAAGGACCCCGGTCAGTGGAGAACCTCCCGTACAATACTCCTTCATAAGAACAGCGATTGGGGATCTTCAAAACTATCGTCCAATATGCCTGCTGAGCGTGCTTTAAATGCTCTTCACGAAGATTATTCCCGCTCGAACATCACACTGGATGAAACCCAACCTGCGAAATAAGCTGGATTTTGGCATTTAGTTGCGTGGATCGCGCATCCAGACAGTTTCGAGGCTATCGAGGTTTGCCGAGGGTATCGTCTACCTCTTGTCCTAACCTTCGTTGACTGTGATAGCTTTTGACAGCGTCGGGACTGATGCTACATTTTCAGCGCATGCTTCCCATAGTCGCACGTGGAAATGTTCAAAAAATATTCCCAAACTGGAAGAAATTTTAACGTATCCTGCACGAATATCACAAATATATAATGCGGCCGAAGTAGGTAAATCCTTCAGTTTTTAACTCACTTTATCTACCGTGACCTCACTTTAGAGCCATAATTGCAAATGATTTGGTTAATTTTATTAGCGCACCAAATAATATAGTACACATGTTTTCGCTAAAGAGATGAAGAGTGGTCATGGAAACTTAATTGTCGGTATTACTTATAGTTAAGGCTGCGATGTAACACAGCGACAAATATTTACAAACGAAGGGGTTCCATCCACTAGAACTTTACATGAAGGAAAATATAGTGAAATTTTGGAAGATAAGGTAAGAAAGTGTAAGATTAGATGATAGAAAAGGAATGCTTCCGAAATGTCGGGTGTGAAAGTGTTGCTTTGCGATCAATGACCATATAGTTTTCAGGAAGTACACATCTGCAATTGAACTATTATCGCTGTTTGAATCTGTGCCTCAGTAACTGATTTTTATAGACATTCAGTGTGTAACGAATCTCAGGAATATTAATTGAAATCATCAGCGAAACATGAGGAAGTAACGCACCTGCTTTTTGGGGTCTTTATCATCCATTTGCAATCGATTATGAAATTTAGATCTGATTACGAACTGCATTGTTCCAAAACTTAATCCTACAAGCTTTTAGTAAAATTGAGCGATAGCTATGGAAATTTGGGGTAACAAAAAAGTTGGTTGTAGAGTTTTTTAAGATTATGTATGATAGCATATGCCTGGTTCAATATTCGTTCCAATCTGATGCGTCACCGCATATAAGTTGTTACATAATTTACTTTTTTCCTGGCGCTTATCTTTCCGTACCATC